GTCCGAAGTACAGTCTACCCTCCGGATCCCTCTGAAGCCTCCTGTAGAAAGGACCAATCGGTGGGATATACCCCAGGTAGACCTCGTACAAGAGTACCGGACAGTACGGGTCCGACGGGACTGCGTACGCTTTAGTCGTCTTGCTCTTCTTTCCGAGTCGGTTGAATGACACGAACTTCCCCATGTGGTCACAGCCGACAGAGAACTGTTCTGCAACAAGACTGTGATGTTCTTCGCCACTGCTAACGCCGAACAACTTTGTCGTGTAGTAGAACACCGCGTAGGAGATGCTCAGGTCCTTCTCAAGGCTGAACACCTAAAAAACATAAAAACAGATATACTCCAATTTTACTTATGGTGTTAACCTTTTGTATATACCTTTGTAGAAATTCGTGACCTCTGACATCTCAGGCATCTAGTACATGTACATGAATTTTTTTGGTTAAAATGTTTAATGTAATACTGTTATTAATTGATTAATTGATTGATGTTAAAGGTGTATCAAACTCTTCAAAACCTAGCAAATGAATATTTAGCCTAACTTTTTGTATGTAAATTGTAATGCTGTTTAATGTTGATAATACAAGTTTTCTTTGATAGTAGTGAAGCCACGTGACAAGCCTCGCTGGGTCAGTCTACTGAGGAAGACCAGAGTGACTGGCTGAAAGCTCTAGGTGAGAGAATTTTTTGTGTTGGACCAAAAGTTTTAATTTTATACAAACAAACAAACACCTTGGACTCCCACAGGCGAGCTTCGATGCCGTGAGGAAAAAGCTCCATGTCGTGGCGTCTCTTCTCCTGCATGCCGACACCGAGTTCAATCAGAGATTTCTTCTGCGTCTCCATGGCCTGTCGCAGTTGGAGGAATCTGCCGTCATCTTTGGCCAGAATGTTGACGTCCTTCCTACAATCATTCCGCAGATACCTGTGGTGGGGAAAAAAAGGTTGCCTGCATGCCATTTTCTGTATGCTGTTGGGAAAGCTATTTAATTTGTCTATAATTCATAGGAAACGGCAAAAATTTGAAACTCATGTAAAGGGTAGCATTCACTTCACAGTCATTCCGCAGATACCTGTGGGTGGCAAGAAAAAGGTGGCTAAGTTACAGGGGCCTGCATACACTGTAGCCAGCCATTTGGATGCCCAAAAATTGTAGGGAAAGCTACTTAATTTCATGTAATTTGTAGCATTAAGTGGCAAAAATTTTAATTGTATGTAATTAAGCAGTGTAGCATTCACTTCCTGATTTAATGCAAATGATTTACATGATGTACAATATAGGTGGCTCTCCTGAATTTAGCATAGAGTGCTGTTTGGACTTCAGTAATTGCAGAGGGTCTTAACAGATAGTCTGTAAAATTGGATGGGACTCTTATAATGTATGTGGCATAAGACTGGAGGTGGCTGGCTGTCAGTCACTGACAGTCATGTGCAACAGGTGGTTGACTGACTGGATTTGACTATATGTACACAGTGGGATACCCTCTGAAAGCACATCGGCAGAATGTACTGCACCTGTGTACAACCCGTAATTTATTGTGCATAGAACTTCAGCAGAATGTCTCATATAAGGTCGATTTGCGCACATAAGGTTAACACTCTGTCTGTAGTTTCCAAATGTAATGTCGGAAAAGATATCCTCTGCATCAGGCAAAATTCTGTTGCAATATTGACCAAAAATCTGACGAAAACCATGAAAATGGGGGTTTTGCGCAGGCGCATTACGTTCTGCTGACATGCTACCTCTGACCATGCACACACCTGTTGATCCCAGTCAGCATGAGGTACAGAGTGTTGTAAGGGTAGTACTGTCCATCATCCCTCCGCACTTCGCTAACAAACTGGCTTAGCCAATGGTCCAGCTGTTCCACTGTCATGGCGACCCAGTCGGTCGGGACGGGCTTCAGGTCCTGGCCGCTCGACGAGGCCGTCGCTTCTCCGTTCCGCTTGTTTGCCCAGGTGTTCAACACTCGAACTGCCCACCTGTCAGCAAGAAACAATGTTGAAAACCAGAAACTTGAGAAAGGTAACATTTTCAAAGCAACATTAATGCATAATGTTTACTTTCACTATGGTCTGGCTCTGTTAATTCTTACTCAAACACATTCGTATATGTGATGACAGGAGTCTAAATCCCTTCTGCTATGAAATTGCAACAAGACCCAACAACCATGGTGACAGATGTCTGGTCAGGTTCAGGTCATTGACCTTACTTGTTGGAGAAGAAGAGGAAACTGAGAAAAAGCAATATATCCTGCGTGGTTAAACATACAGTACTTAACAAGCAAATGGTCGGATAGTTGGTTGGTTGGTAGGTTGGTGAGTGAGTGAGTGAGTGAGTGAGTGAGTGAGTGAGCGAGCGAGCGAGCGAGCGTGAGTGAGTGAGTGCGTACGTGAGCATGCGTGCGTGCGTGAGACATTACCTGTTCATTCTCTTGGTGTTTTTTGGCTGCTCCATATCAGCCACACTTGTGTTTGTACTATAGGGGGGTTTCTGTGGTCTGCCTCGCCTCATTCTGTCAACAGGCGGATCGAAAGACGGGTGTCGCAGCTGCTGAGGCATGCTGGGAGTCTGTGTCAGGCTTGTGATTGGTGGAGTGGTTACCATGGTTACAATCTGGTCACCGGTGTCTCCAGTATTACACAGTGGAACTGGGGAGCAGCTCAAGTTGAGCCCAATACCTGGAATAAAGGTAATAATATACATGTATATAAGCTGCAGTCATTGTGACTGTAAAAGAGTCAATGGTTAGACAAGCTGCACTGAAACACACTTTAGTTTCAAGTAGTAGTAGTAGTAGTTTAGTACATGTACTAATTTAAAAACTAAGTATTACACAAATTAACAGGTAAGCATTCAAGTTGAGCTCAAAGCTGGATTAGTTATAATATTGTGACTTAATTTTCTTAAGCTAGAGTCAGAGGTATTAAACAGCTCTGAAACATACTAGTAGTTTCTTTAAGTTCTTAATTTACTACTAGAACTAACATTTTGACATGTATAATAACACATTCAGCAGATTTTATTCCAAGTCATGAGGATACAATTGAAGAACAAATTTTTCCTCACCATAGAAATACTAATTTGTGCTTACCTTCCTCATTTTCATCTTCTTCTTCACAAATTTCTCCCACCTCGGTTTCACTGTTACATGGAGTCTGTCTTCTCTCACCTTGGTTGCTCTGTTGCCTTCCTTGGCCATTTCCTTCAAGAACTATGTCTTTCTGAAGAACGGCATGTGAAGGAACAGTAGGAGATGTTTTAGCCCACGTCTGTAGTTGTGAAGTTGTGTTGGGTTGTACCATCCATACCATGGGGGACACTGCCATGCCTGAAACCTGCACTACAGGTGTCACATCTTCAATTTCAGTTCGTTTGCAGATGTCAATACTGGTAGCTCTGTCTCCTCCATAGCTGGGTGCAGCACTGATGTTTTGGCTCCCTCTTTGGTTGTGAATGTTGGAGAAGTGCAATGTTCTGCTATCTTCACTCACCCCTTTGTGGGTATGACTATGAGTGTTTGCGAATGCTGTGCTTTCTTCCTCCTGCCTTGTGGATGAATGGGAGGAGTGCAACGATCTGCTGTCTTCACTCCCTCTTCTCTGGTCGGGAGTATTTGCGAATATTCTGCTGTCTTCACTCCCTCTTCTTCGATTGGGAGTGTTTGCAAATGTTCTGCTGTCTTCACTCCCTCTTCTCTGGTCGGGAGTGTTTGCAAATGTTCTGCTATCTTCAGTACTCCCTCTTCTCTGGTCGGGAGTGTTTGCAAATGTTCTGCTATCTTCAGTACTCCCTCTTCTCCGATCGGGAGTGTTTGCGAATGTTCTGCTGTCTTCTTTCTCTTCCCTCGTGGCGGAACAGCGTTCTCGGGCGGCGTTCTCGGACGGACCCGCGCTCTTCACCGTGCCGTTTATCTTGAGATGGGGAGGGGACCACACCTCGAGTTCGTCCACGTACTTGTTTGAAGTGCAGCGGAAGAAGTGGCGTAGGACATACACCATGAGCTCGTGGCTGACCGTGAACTCACACTCCGCACACTTGTATAGCCTGCTCAGGTGGCGGCTGTGATCCATTGTCTCAGCCTGACAGAGAAAAGGAAAATTGTCAGACTGCAAAAATTTAACTTCATTGTCACAAGTCATTGGATATATCATTTCATCCATACGTGTAAGTAAAAAGATAGCATTTGCAATATCCCGTCAATGTACAAGTATGAATTCATCTATTTTGTAGGGGCTTGATTTTCCGGTAGAATGGAAAAGAATCAGGTTAATTTATCATGCATGGTTGAAACATTTCAGTCGTTGCATTGCAACTTACTACTAGTACATTGCAAATCATGCATGTAATCACATTAGCATGAAATTGTGGTCACAACATAGAGGTCCTGCGCAGCACTATATCCCATTTCGTAAATAGTCATGCAGCCAGTAATAAGCTACATATAAGATGAAAAATATAGTTTAATAGTATTTAAAAATCTTACCATATTTCTCAATATTTCAATTAAAACTGGTTACTTCCTCCTAATTACAGGGTCTCCTCCTGACACAGCTAAGGCTGCAGGTGTTCGAAAACATATAATGGTGATAAAATTTATCACAATGCAAATATAAAATGTCCACATATGTTATACATACTTTATACAATATGTCATACATAGCTGTAGCTACATGTAATACTAGGAACGGGATCCAAGAGGCACAAGGCGAAGTCTACTCATCCTGTTTCCCCGATAGGAGCTGTGAGCCAAATTTAAGTTATGTGTATTATTTATTAGATATGAATATATATTTCATCTGTACTGTTAATCATCAAACTAAAGCAGTGAGATTATTAGTACAGAAAGCAGTGAGTTATCGGTACAGAAAGGGAATGTACACTATATATATTCTTGAGTCAATTTCAAATCACTATAAATAAAAATTGTCTTCAAATTTAAAGCTTAAAATGAAATATATCATATATGATATATTATATCACAACAAATATATACATCCTAGATTCGTATCCTATATAACGTTACTCAAGTACCACCTAAGTACACAACCCCAAACAAACAATAAAACAAAGGACACTGGATTTCCAAGTACTAAATATACAAGATCATAATCTTGATAATTTTTATACTGAAAATTTAGTTGGCTTTATACAAGAACAAAAAATGAACAGCACTGTTAATTTTGCATTTAAACAAATCCAGGTACTAGTAAGTAGTAGTACAACTTACAATGTTGGGAACCATTTGGTGCAGTACTACTATAGCTGAAAGAAAAACCCATACTGAGGCCAGGGCCCTGCAATGTTATACGAATTTATACATACAAGGTGATAAACAATTAGATATCTATCCATATAACAAAACATTTATACCTACTGTATTGAGATCTCTGAATCCTTGGGCCAAATAGGGTTCTCTCAAAAGCAAAAAGTCCAAATTCTGGGTGGAAAGAGACTTGGCAGGAATCCAATACCCTGATAAACTGATATGGTTGTTATCAACAACACCCAGGGGCCCCTGCAAAACCTGCTGCACTAGTGGGCTGATAATCATGGCTTACCCATATAAGGGCATAGGGAGATAAAGGCTGACCAATTATCGCCCAGGCTGTGTGCTAATTATACCAATTATATACAGCGGTGACATCAGAGATAATTATAGGGCACTGTTTGCCACATTGAATATTCAGTTGGAGCAATAATATAATGGTGTATAATGTCCTTGGTTTGAGGAAGGACAATTTTATACATTCTATATAATGTCCTTGGTTGGAGAGAATATTCTATTGCTGAATGTGAATTCTCAATAGTTGAAAACTATAATGCTATAAGTTAACGTTATATGATTATATGATATTGATAATGTTATAACATAACATAAACATTATTCAGAATTAGAGCAAGGACATACAATTCAATATTTTTTATAGTAAGGAAATTTCTTTAGAGCAATAAACAGTCATCAACAATGAAAAAAATCAAAACATATAAATGTCCCTGTTCAAATAAACTAAAGGCTAAACAACCAAAGTAAATAAACTTAAACTAGTAAAAGGCTTACAATATCTACTTTTCTGTCTACATTTTTGCTTTCCCCATCATGTGAACTGTTCATCCTTGGAGTTGAGAGTGGACACTGGTCGTAGATGGACTGCATGAACCTGTATATAACGTTACATTTACACAAGGATGTCATAAACTCAGTGTTTTGATGTTGAATGAAATATTGCAAGTACCAGGTCAAAAAGAGTCAAATTCTGGAATAGTTCACTAAACTTACAGGGTAACTTTTGTGATTGAAGGAATAGTTTACAGCTATTCCTTCCTTCAAAAGCTAAACGAATACAGAGTAAAAGTTACTATATATTTATAAAGGTTATTCAATTGCATTTTGTGAAAATATTGTAAGAAAAATCTTTTTCTTTTAAATCCGAATATGTTATTCTTTCTTTTCTTTCCTGTATTGAATATGGACTCATCCTTGGTGCATTTCGGCCAATCAAAACTAACCTGAACGACCACGTGATTGGCGGGAAGTATGGGCGCCATCTTGAATGATACTCTCGGTGTCGTCTGTAAATAAAAGTGAAAGTTTGCGCCAAAATGGTGCGTATTTACGTCCGAAACAAGGGGCGGTACGATCCTAAGACAGCAGAGAATCCCCTTCCGTTCGTAGACGTGGACAATCCCGGCGATGTGCTGATTAAACACGTCAGAGAGGTGAGGATCCTTGAAGAGGTGCTAGCGTCTTTATATAGATGGCGCGTTTTCTTCCGAAAAATTTATTATTATTTCTTGGAACCATTTCTTGGAACCCCGATATCACATCTTTGTTCAAGGTGTTGTTCTTAGGAAGGTGTAAAAGAAGTGGAGGTATCGTCGTCTTTTAATTTTGCGTTTCGTTCTTGCAAACCTGTTTGGTTCTTGCCTTATGCAACAACAACAACTGAAACCAAGTCCAAAGTCCCAAGGGGGCGGGGTTTACGTTGTTGTTGTTGTAGTAGTTGTTGTACAATTAGAAAGCGTTCTCCATCATATGGAGAGTTGAAACCTTTAAAATCATTTTCGTACAGTAAAACTTTAAATGAAAAGAATTTTACACCCACAAGTTAATGGCAATTGTTGTTCCACAAATCATGAATTACAATTACTCTAAATTAGAATCACAAAACAGTTAATTGCAGTCTAATTAATCGTTTGTGATTCTGATTTTTAATCCTTTGTGATGTTTGCAGACTGTGAAAAGACGGATCAACTGCAAGTTAGATGAGCTCTACTACAATAACCAGTTACTGGATGAGGACAGGTAAGTCTTGTTGTAGTATCATGTCAGAATTGTGAAATCTGAAGAAGCATTTTGTTGATGGCAGCTTCTATTGTACTATGTAGGATATTGTCAGTCAACTTAGACAAAGGCATTGATGACAAATGATTTGATAAATGGTAAGTTCTCGGGTCAGAAGTGACCGTAGAAACAATGAACAATAAAAACACCATAAAACTAGAAAGGTAACATTTGCATACGGCCATCATTCATATATGCAAATGTATGGTGACATACTAGTAATCCCTCCTGCTATAAAATTGCAACATGATGTAACCTAGCCGTGGACGACTCTGTAACCCTTTTTGCATGATAATACCTGGCATTATCATGCAAAAAAGGTTACAGAGTCGTCCACGGCTAGATGTAACCCAACACTAGTTACCATGGTTAGACTTAGAGACATCTGGTTCAGGTCGTTGACCTTATTTATTTCGAGAAGAAGAAACAGAGCAAAAACAAGGTTTTCATACACTGAACTTTAAGGTAAACATAAAAATCAGAAATTACAGCAAATGCAATCAAGATCACAAAGAAAAAGACTGAATGAAAGTTCTAAGTAGTAAACAGGAACTATGCAGCTCCAGATGTCTTGCTGAGGGACGACTGCTGTGCAAGATCTCGGTTAGCTGAGGAACGAATCCCCTCGAATTTACAAGATCACTAAGAAAAAAGCTTTGATTTTTTCATAAGGTCTGTTGCGTACTCGAACCTGCAAGACGGCACAGTTCTGGAGAGCTGCAGTAACCCGTTCTGGGCGGCGTGCATGTACGTGCGGCTGCGAGCCGTGGAGCAGGAGGCAGCCAACAACCCAACGGACCAGAAGAAGCAGCGCTGGACGCACCAGTCTATCCTCAACAGGGCAGCAGCACTGGGGGTGCTCTTCAACAGTAACAGGTAGGCTGTGGTAGTTAGTTAATAAGTTAATAATAGGTTAATAAGTTTAGTTAATAGTTAGTTAACTGGACTCACCAGTCTATCCTCAACAGGGCTGCAGCACTAGGGGTGCTCTTCAACAGCAACAGGTAGGGCTGTATTAGTTAGTTAATAAGTTAATAATAGGTTAATAAGTTAATAGTTATAGATACTAGATAGTTAACTGGACTCACCAGTCTATCCTCAACAGGGCAGCAGCACTGGGGGTGCTCTTCAACAGCAACAGGTAGGGCTGTGTTAGTTAGTTAATAAGTTAATAGTTAGTTAACTGGGCTCACCAGTCCATCCTAAACAGGGCAGCAGCACTGGGGGTGCTCTTCAACAGTAACAGGTAGATATCCAGATAAGTTTTTCATTTTTATGTACAATGTATACGGTACTTTTATGTTCACGGTTTTGGCGGTCACTTCTGCAACTTTCTCCTTTCTGCACCTGCCACCACCTTGAATATATAGTTCCGCGAAGACCTCCATTTTTCTCAGATCGTGAACTTTTGCTATCATGAACATCAAGTGAATTACAGTACATGTATAAAGGTAAATGTAGTGACAAGTCCCATAGCCTTCTTTGCGCCACAATTCTTCAACTTTTACAAATTACCAGTACACACAATACACAAATGTACATCACACTGCACATACCCAGTTTAATTGGTGCATGTAAAGAAATAATCTCATCCTTCTCCCAAAGTTTTGAGAGACACCAGCCTCCACACTTGCCGACATTACAAGACCTGTGGACGTGCCTACAGACCAACGGCCGTAAGCCTGTCCACATGAGTGAGATTACACGGACAGCGTTACAGGAGCTTCAGGAAGAGTTCCAGAACATTGACGTCCACAGGAGGGACCCGTTGGCATCATTTGTACACCGTCACGCAGTCAAACTTGGTTTTAGGGATCCAAATGGTATGTGTAGAATACAGTCTACAGTATATAGTAGAGTGGATTCATTCCTCAAGATAACGGACATCTCGCACACACAGTCGTCCCTCAGTAAGACATCTGGAACCGCATGTTAATTCAGCCTATAATACCTGTCTACAGTGATAAGAAAAAAGAAGACTTTGGGTTTTGATGTGGGTTTTGATGTACATGTAATTGTAGTTAAGACAATTTGGCAGTACTGTAACGCAGTGGAAGACAGGACATATGCTCGCAATTAGTCACAGTTAGACATCACTGCGAAAACGTAGCAAAAATTTCCATATTTACAGTACATAAAAATTATATTAATTTTGTCAATTTGTATGTAAGTTCTATCTTCATACATTGTGTATTTTTCATTCCACTCAAGTCAGTGTCATAATAGTTATTGTCCTGTTTTTAATTGATCATATATTTCCAATACATTTAAGAATGCAATGTTGCACTTGAGTTATTTGAGTGAATATTATCAATGTGTAAGTTTTTGCCTCCCATCTACATGTATCTAGCCCCAGAACCAGGAGATGGACCTGTTCATGCTGGCCCAGGCAACGGTGTTCCAGCCACACAGGCTGCAGGAGCTAGAGGAAATAACAACAACAACAGGAATGGTGGGAGGAGGAGACAGAACAGGCCCAGACCATGTGATGACTGTGAGGCAGAGGATGCCACAAAATACTGTGCCCAGGTTGGAGTTTTTCTCTTTTTTTCTGTTGGTATAATCCATAATGGATTGGTCCGTTGAGGTTAGAAGGCTGGTATCAGTTCAAAATCATCCACTGAGTGGTATTCAATTTTAGCCTGGGTACCATCCCCAGTAGTATATTCGCAAACTCTATAACTGGGTCTGGACTTGCACACATATGTAGCGTCTGGAGTCTAAATATTCGTTCAGATTTTGAACGAGCGCGCTGATTGGTCCTACTCGTCTAAGCCTTTTTTTGGGTGTGTACATATTAGGTAAGGGCTGTTCGGATGTCCGAACGGCGACGTTAGCGTCCGTTCGAACGTCCGAACGCCTTATCATCAACATGTCCGACGGCGAACCGAACGCTAAAGCGCACATGATATAGCCGTAGTCAGTCTTTCCGCGATAAATCATCAACATGGCTGACGCACAAGCCGCTCAGCTCACGGAGGTTGATGTTGACCTTGCAATCACGTCCGTTTTGGACGATTTAGACGGAATATCGTC